ACACTCTGTCTTAGCCTGGACCTGGCTAGGTGGGGGGCCCCCCTGAAGGCTATCGTGGCTCCTGGCCACTGTCCTCCAGCTGGGCAGGCCTGGTGTCTAGACTCTCAGACTGGGAACTCAGTCTTAGAATTCTTTCAGCTACAATAACAAACACAATCAGAAAATCAACAAACATTGAGAGCTTCATGTTACCAAGTTGGAAGGGACCTTATAAATAAATGGTCTCTTCCAACACACCACCTATTGCACAGACCCATTTCCTGGCATTCCTGACAGATGGTCATCTCATTGCTATTGGAAATGAGTAAGATCTGTTTCCACCCTGTGCATCTACCTCATGCCAGTAGATACAGTGCTAGGCATCATCTACCCATCTCAAGCCATCCCCTGTATGTCTCGGGGTTGGAGATAATTACAGGAAACTTTACATTGTGTGATAAGTTCTAAGTGCTCTTTCTGAGGATGGATAAACCTGTTTGAATCCCACCTGCCAGATGTGTGGATCTCTCTGACTCTCAGTTTTCTTATCTGTAAAATAGGGATAACAGTTGTACAACTCCATGAGTTATTGAGGGATGTGTACAAAGTGCCTGGCACATGGCTGTGTTGGCTCTTATTAGAATAACAATTATCCCTATTTTACAGATGCAAAAAATGAGGCTCAAAGAGGTAGGGAGACTGTTCTAAGTCACCCAGCCAGTGATAAGCTGCACTCCATAACCTCAGAGGTTTGCTTGCCCAAACAACCACATCAGGGCCACGTGGAGAGTTATTAAAGTACCAAATCCCTGAGCCTCATTTCAGCCCCACTGAATTCAAGTTTTAGGGGCCAGAATCTGTGCTTTGAAGAAGTTAGAGTTCAGTGGCTTGTGCCTGCAATCTCAGCTACTTGGGAAGCTGAGTCAAGAGGATTACTTGAAGCCAGGAGTTTGAGACCACCCTGGGCAACATAACAAGACTACTCTCTCTAAAGAAGAAAAGCTCTCCAGGTTGTTCTGAGCTGCTGGTCAGGCATTTGGTTGGCCATTTAGCTGACCAAATGTTCTAGGGGATGGGGAGTTTGCTGCCTCCCACAGCAGCCTGATTTACATGGTCAGGACCTTCTGTGCTTCTCATAGCCAGATCAGAGAGAGCCTCTCATTTGGGAGAGTTGTTCGGGGCTCTTTTCTCTATGCTCACCCCTGAAGAACTGCCCATTCTCCCTCCCAGCCACTCACACTGGCATCTGTCCCAGAGGGTTACTCATTACGTGGCTGGGAGTGGCCAGGCCCTCATCAGACACCTGTGAGAGGCCACAGACTTCCCCTCAGCTCCACTGTCCCACGGGCCTGTAAATCATTCATCCTAGGCCCTCTCCCCACCCCACTGCTCTCACGCACCTTCCTGTCTCCTCTTTCCTAGGTGCTGGAGGTGGCACAGGTGCTCAGAGGAGGGGAAGTGGGCAGCTTGGGGCAGTCTGGAGTTCTGGCCCAGAGCTGGGACTAGAGCCAGTGTTCCTAACCATCGAAAATATAAATTCACCTCTGCAAGTGGTAAAAATTTAAACACCCCAGTCTCCTTCCTACCTGTGGCTTTGCAGCCTCTGGTTCCTCCTCAGCAGCAGCCCCTATTATTGACTTCTCATATATTCTTTCACAAAGAACAGACGTGGATGATTATGTGTGTGTGTCCCCAGTTTTGATGCATAAATGGTAACCTACTATTTACACCATTCATGTCTTGCTTTTTGTCACATCTTAGAAATTGCTCCATATTGGTACATATGGAATTTTTCTTTTTTTCCTGGAATTAGGGTCTTGCTCTGTCACCCAGGCTAAAGTGCAATAGCATGACCATGGTTGATTACAGCCTTGAACTTCTAGGTTGAAGTAATTCTTGTTCCTGAGCCTCCTGAGTAGCTAGGACTACAGCTACTCCACCACACCTGGATAATTTTTTAATATTTTTGCAAAGACGAGGTCTCTCTATGTTGCTCAGGCTGGTCTCAAACTGCTAGCCTTAAGCCATCCTCCCTTCTTGGCCTCCCAGGATGCTGGGATTACAGGCTTGAGCCACTGTGCCTGGCCTATAATTTCCTTTTAATGATGGCATAATACTCCTCTTCATGGTTAACCCAGTTCCCTACTTGTATACACACATACTGTTTTTAGTTTTGTGGTATTAGAAACATCACTAAAGAAGTCTCTGTGGGCTTAGTTCCTGGAAGTGAACTTCAGGGGTGAAAGGGTATGTGTCTGCTAAATGAGGCTAGATTTTGCAAGTTGGGCTCCAAGGAAGATATTCCAGTTATCACTCCTTGGACAGCATATGGGATTCCCTGGTTTCTGGGCCGCACAGTGTGATATCAAACATTTTGTTCTTTGGCAGAGCTGTTTTCTTAGCAATTAAACTGTGTACTTCAAACAGTTCCAGCAGATAGAAGTTGGCCAATGGGCTTCTGAGCTTACCAGCCCCTCTCCAGGGCCCAGAGAGGGAGTGGCAAAGCCAGGTCTTCACTGCAGTCTTGCCAGGACAGAGAGGAGTCACTGTGCAGCTAGAGCCTTGTGTCTGTCTAGCCCACCCGCCCACCTTCATCTGGGGAAGAGCCAGGCTGGAGGTGAGGACACCTGAGTCCTGGTCATAGCACTACCAGGCAGGATGGCCCTCAGTGAATGCCCTTTCTGAGCTTTATCTATGAAATAATAGGTCCATGCTTCCTCATCAGGAAGGGTGGGGCTGAGAACTGGGGTACCAAGGGACAGGCAGCTTGGATGACCACTGCCTGCAATCTCTCAGGCCCAGGTCCACGTGGGCAGGAAGCCTCATCTGTGAGACCTCTGGGCATTTTAAAGGCCCCCGGACTACATCCACCCTGGAACTCTCAGGGGCTTGTGCTCACCATGGTCTGTTCCCTCCTTTCCCAGCAATAGGTGGAGGGGTAGTCTGCTGTTACACTCTGTCATCAATGCTTGTGGGTGCTCCACGACAGGTTCAGTAGGCCTGAAATATGGCAGGGTGAGGAGTTGTGCCCCTCATGGGAGGGGCAGTGAGAGCTCTAGACCAAGGAACATGGCTTTAGGCAGGTCAGTACCTGTCTGGGTACCTAGTGACCCTGACTATTTAGAGAGGTCAGACTAGGACTCACCAGGCCTCTCCTTTGGACCTCGGTGGCCATGTCACCCTTGTGAACCATGGTCTCTTCCTCTGTAAAGTGGGAGGAGACTACACTCCCATGACCTTTTCTGGATTTAGTCCAGTGGACTCTGTGGGGCTATAGATTCAGAGCCATGCTGGAATATATAACTTTCTATAACCACTTGGTGGTGGTGACATTAAGCAGAACTGTTGTTGAGTCAGCGTCGAATTTTCTAGGCCAAGGAGGGGCCCCATCTGGAGCCAAGGCCTGGGCAACCACTCCCTTGGCCTTTTCCTGGGGCCAGGCCTGCCTGGCCAGAGGCCGAGGGTATCCCGTGCTGCATTGGGCCGCAGACTGGGGTCAGTGGATATGAAGCGTCCAGTGCGGTTCCGCTGCTCTGGCAGAAAACCCAGGGAAAAGCTGCCCAGGAACATCTGCTGTCTCCCATTCTCCACAAAACCATTTGGCTCATGGGGAGCCCAGTGGCTATCCTGCCAAGCTGCGTAGGCTTGGTGGAGGGGGTGGCAGTTAGCACAGAGACACTGAGGGACAGGCAGGGCTGGGCTGTGACCCAGGGAGGTGAGAGCCAGGCTGTCGTCTGGGGCACTTGAGTGAGGGGTCAGTGGTTATTTGGAGACCCATCATGTCCTGGTGGGACACGTGTGTGGGGTCTGAAAGTACTTGTGTGTATCTCCTATTTATAGCTACATGCTCAGCTTCCTGCAAAGGAAACTGGTGTTTAGCCAGGCCCCCACACCAGCCAGACCAAGCATGATTCTTAATATTCTTTCCAGACAGATCTTCTATCCCAGTCCCAAAGAAAGCCCTGACATTAACCCCAGACAGTCCTCAAATCTGGTTCTTGGCCCCAGGCTGAGCCCCATAGAGAAGCTGAGGCACTGGTCTCTCTCCTGGGTTATTGTAGGTCTCCTGTATTTCCCCTTCCTCCTGCCAGTCTGTTCTCCATGCATCAGACCTCATGTCTCCTCTGCTCAGAATCCTGCGATCTCTCGCATCACAGACAAAGTACAACCCAGAGCCCTTCCCCATGTCCCATCCCTGTCCCCTTGCTCTCTGCACCCCTCAGCTTCCTCACTCTTCCTTAGACACACCAAGTAGTAGGCATGTTCCCACCTCAGGCCCTTTGTACTTGATGTTCCCTCTGCCTGGAACCTTCTTCCCAAGATATCCACATAACTCTCCCTCACCTCCTTTAGAATTTTGCTTAAATTCTCTTTCTCAGCTGGGTGCAGTGGCTTATACCTGTAATTCCAGAACTTTGGGTGGCTAAGGAGAGAACCACCTGTGGGAGGTGGGGTGTTAAAAATGCACATTGTAGGCGGCACCTGTGGCTTAAAGGGGTAGGGCGCTGGGCCCATATGCTGTAGGTGGTGGGTTCAAACCCAGCCCCGGCCAAAAACTGCAAAAAAAAAAAAAAAAAAAAATGCACATTGCTCCCAGGTTTTCTGATTAAATGATCAGGGATGCCCTAGAAGCTGTGTTTTTCACAAGCTCTGCAACTGGGAACTGCTGGTTTTAGGCTGGTGGAGCTGGCAACCAGAGTAGGGCTGTGGGTCAGGAGACCTGAGTTGAAGCTCCCCCTCCATCAGCAGCTTGCTGTGCAATGCTGAGCAGGTTGCTTCCCCTCTCTGAACCTGTAACTCTCTGCTGGGCATGAGAGGAATACTTGCCTCTGGGCTGTCAGTCTGCAAGCCTGTGACTAGGGAAAGATTGTTACCCCCAGGACAGGGTTATATGTCCCTCTCTACTTCAAGTTCCTACTTTAAGGAGACTGTATTGCTCTTCCTCCTGAGAGCCCTACTGGAGCTTTCTGCAGACTCTGCCTCCCTCCTCACTTTCCCTTCTGTCTCCTTCTGGTTCTCAGGTAAGACTCGAACCAAGGACAAGTACCGTGTGGTCTACACCGACCATCAGCGCCTGGAGCTGGAGAAAGAGTTTCATTATAGCCGTTATATCACCATCCGGCGGAAATCAGAGCTGGCCACCAATCTGGGGCTTACTGAACGGCAGGTGTGTGGGTGTTCCTTTCTCTACCATAGGAGTGGTGCGGGGACTCTGGTCTCTAAGCTGCCAAGAAGATCTTGGAGCTCGTAGAGGAAGAACAGTGAGGTTAAGTCTCTAGGTCATTTTCACACAGCACAGCAGAAACTGAGCTGCTGTCACCTGGACCCCCAAACTCAATATCTTTGCCCCAAATAGTGGTCTAAGGGGATCTGATTACTCATAGGCCACAGCAGGCTAAGGTCAGTACTGTAAGAGCCATCAAGTGCCATTTAAATTAGAAGAGGGAGCAGTCATAGGGAAGAGAGGAAATGCTTCCTGCAGTGATGTGAGAGCATGGCCTAGCAAGGTGGGGAAGAAGGTTACTGAAAGTAAGGGAGCAAGATCTGGAGGGGAGAATGCACCCAGGTGGCAGAGGGGTGGCTGCAGCAGGAGGGAGGCTCACTGACCTCCCTCTCTCCTTCTTGTTCTTGTCATTCCTCCCACCGCTTGCCCCATCTCTGCTCTCTAATCCCATAGGTGAAGATCTGGTTCCAGAACAGGCGGGCAAAGGAGCGCAAAGTGAACAAGAAGAAGCAGCAGCAGCAACAACAGCCTCCACAGCCACCAGTAGCCCACGATGTCACCCCCACCCCCACTGGGTCAGCTCTTGGGGGCCTGTGCCCCAGCAACACCAGTCTCCTGGGCACATCCTCCCCAATGCCTGTTAAAGAGGAGTTTCTACCATAGCCCTGTGCCCAGCTTTGTGGGCCAGGGGACCTGGGGACTCAGGTGCTGGGAATGGGCTCCTGTGGGGAGTCAGAGTCCCAGCCCTGCCCCATCCTTCTGGGTCACTGTGGACAAGTCACCCCCACCCCCACTACATGCCCTTGGCCCATCTGTACAAAGTCTGAGTCCCAGCCCTGCCCCATCCTTCTCGGTCACTGTGGACAAGTCACCCCCACCTCCATTACATGCCCTTGGCCCATCTATACAGAGTCTGAGTCCCAGCCCTGCCCCATCCTTCTGGGTCACTGTGGACAAGTCACCCCCACCCCCACTGCATCCCCTTGGCCCATCTGTACAGTGAGCCTGTTGGATAAGAACCTCTTCCATCTCCTGTGTTCTAGGCTCCAGGGTGAGAGGTCTCAATCTCATGGGGACACTTAAATCTCTAGAGGGCTGGGGAAGGCCTCACTTCCTTCAAGGGGTGGGGTGGGAGGCTGCTATAGGGACAACTCCACACCTGATCTTGGAGAAAGGAGATGGAAGTGAGAGAAGATGGAATGCTTGCAGACCCTGACCTGAGGAGAAAGGAATGGTCAGGTTTCCTTGCCTCTTCCTGCGGTCTTACCTCCTTCAGCCTCATCTTACCATGCCCTGAACCCTCCCCAGGCTGGGTTCTGATGACCACCCGGCTAGATTACAGAATCCTGTCCCCTCACTAGAGGTTCTCAGTGAGGCCTCTAAATTCAGAGAGAGGCCTCTCAAGGGGAGAGGGGGCAGAGTTCGCTCTGCTAGGTTTCTGCTAGCCCACTGGGCTGTCCATCAGAACCCACTCTCCAAGGAGCCCCCAGAGACTTTCTCTGAACCAAGCAGAGCTCACAGCTGGACAGGTGTTGTATATAGAGTGGAATCTCTTGGATATACCTTCAAGAATAAATTTTTCCTCTTTTTAGAAATGTGTAAGTCTTTATACATAGCATTAAAGAAACATTTTAAAGAAGTACAAATCATCCTCACTCTTTCCTAACAATTTTATATTCCTTCCCCATTTTTGTTGGCCTACAACAAGGTCACCTTTAAAATACATTTGAAAGATCAAAACAGGACATTGTTAGAATAGGTCTATGTAAAAATTCGAGTCCATTTTATAAGCAGAATCCTCCAACTTAATACGTCAGTCATTTGAATTTTCCAAATACTTTAAGTTCAGGTTTTTCTTCTAACAGATGACATTGACTATGTACCCCTAGGTGCCAGGCATAGTTGGGCCTGGGAAACACATAGTTTTTGCTCCATAGAAGCCCCAGTTGAGTGGGGACGATTGACATTATCCAGGTGTATGGATAATGCTGGTATAACAGGATAAGGGCCCATCAGAAGTGTGCTCTGGGCACCAGGGAAGCCAGAGCATCTAGGGAGTACAGCATGTTCCTAGCTTATCCCAGAAGGTTGGAAGCCTTCCTGGAGGAGGGAATGTTTGAACTGAGACCAGAGGTCTAGTGAGTGCTGGTCAGACCAAGAAAGAAAGAAAAATAAAAGAGAATGTGAGCAACATGAACTTAAAGCATAATTTTTTAAAACTCCTGAGAGTCTGCTCTCTGGGGCCTTCTCTCCCCAGGGACTCCAGTGCCAGATGCCTACCCCTCTGTTTACTGTTCTGGGAGGTGGCCAGGCCATAAAAAGTGTGCACAACTTTCTGCCATCGCCCTTTGCTCCCAGGGTACATGATAATAATGCACAAGGTGGATCTGGTCCTGGCACTGGCCCTGAGGGCAGCAGGAACTTCTCTTTTCTTTCTACTAGTGACCTGGCAGACATGGCTTCATCAGGAAAAGTGAACACCTAAGGCATGGGAACCAGGTGTACCAAAGGACAGCACCAGGGTCCTATGAGCAGAGGGAGGCAGCTAGTGGAAAGGTGGTTGGTACTAAGTGAATAGGGTTTTCAGGTCTTAAAAAAATTTTCTCTGTGACTCTGGGGCAACTGCTTCCCCTCTCTGGGAAAAGTTTCCCTACCTGTAAAAATGGGAAGTCTGTCTACCAAAAAGAAATGGCTCTGGGCTCGGCACCTGTGGCTCAAGTGGCTAAGGCGCCAGCTACATACACCTAAGGTGGCGGGTTCAAATCCAGCCTGGGCCACCAAACAACAATGATGGCTGCAACCAAAAAATAGCCAGGTGTTGTGGCAGGTGCCTGTGGTCCCAGCTACTTGGGAGGCAGAGGCAGGAGACTCGCTTGAGCCCAGGAGTTGGAGGTTGCTGTGAGCTGTGATGCCACAGCACTCTAGCCAGGGGGACAGCTTGAGGCTCTGTCTCAAAAAAAAAAAAGAAATGGTTCTGGTCAAGCAACTTTGGGAGGTCCTGCAGACTCCGCTCCTCTGGGAGAGTCACACTGATGCATTGGCACATCAATGGTTCTGACAAGCCCTGCAGTAGAGAAACCCCTTGAAATTTTTTTTTTTTTTTTTTAGATAAAGTCTCACTCAGTTGCTCTGGGTTGAGTGCCACAGTATCACCTTAGTTCACAGCAACCTCAAATTCTTGGGCTCAAATGATTCACTTGCCTGAGCTTCCCAAGTAGCTGGTACTACAAGCTCCTGTCACAAAGGCCTACTATTTTTTTCTATTTTTAGTAGAGACAGGGTCTCACTCTTGCTGGTCTCAAACTCCAGAGCTCAAGCAATTCACCTACCTCAGCTTCCCTAGGATTACAGGTATGAGCCACTGTGCTCAGCCTTTTTTTTTTTTGTTACAGTTTTAACTCTATTGCCCAGGCTAGAGCACCCTGATGTCAGCCTAGCTCCCTGCAACCTCAAACTCCTGATTTCATGTATCATGTGCAGGTGCCTATCACAAAGCCTGGCTAAGTTTTCCTGTTTTTAGTAGAGATGGGGTCTTGCTCTTGCTCAGGCTGTTCCTGAGCTCAGGGGATCCTCCTAGCTTGGCTTCCCAGAGTGCTAGGATTATAGGCATGAGCCAGGGTTACCTGGCCCCCTTGAATTTTCTTTAATCCAGCATTCCTCATGTGTTGCTACCTCAGAGGCTCCTGTTCATACTTCCTGGCAGCCCACTGAACTCTATACACTCTGGTGGGACGTGCTGGGCCGCAGAACCTCGCCTTCTCTGTGACTCAGTGGAGACAGTATCATAGGTATGCTTTTGCTATCAGATGGTGGCCTGGGTTTTAGCATGACTACTTTCAAGCTGTGGGACTTCAGGCAAGTTGCTTAGCTTTTTGGAGCCTCAGCTTCCTCATTTGTCAAATGAAAACAAAATACCCTGACTTGAGAAATGTATTTTGCACAGGGCCCAGCACACAGTACGTGTTTGTGGTTTGGCCACCTGCTCACAGGACGGTTGCATCCTGGTATGAGATGCTGGCAGGCCTGACTGATGTTCCACCTACCCTTGGCCTCTGGGAGACCTCTACCTGGCAAGAGTTCAGTGGCCAGGCCTGGGGGAGCTGGAGGAGTTGCCTACATGGGAGGTCAGGAGGTTGGATGGGGCCCACAGGTTGGGTTGGTGATCACCTGTCGATGGGTATCTGAGCTCTGTGATGAAAGGAAACTTCTCTAAGACAACTTACAAGCAGTGTGATAGGCTGCCTTGTGCCTTGTGAGTTCCCTGTTGTCCACAAAGTTTCACCAGAGGTTGGAGTGGTATCATGGCTCAGGAAAGAGATCCCTCAGATCTTGTCATACCCTTCAGCCTCCCAGAGATAAGCAGTCTTCCAACTCTCCTGTCAGGAACGGCTGATTCTGCTTGCACACTTCCTCCTCTGCTGGGGGCAGGCACTGGTGATAAAGACTTAGGATCCAGAAAAAATGTCAGATCTGGCCTGACCTAGCCCTCCAAGACTCGTAGCTTGGTTGAAGCCTCTGGCAAATCAGAATTGTGCATATCACTGCTTTGTTTTACAGACAATTTCAGGGAGTCCGTAGACTCCATGCTTAATGCTAGGAACTCGAGCTGTGAAGGAGCTAGTTCTCGCTCTGCCAAGAGACTGGTGTGGACTGAGCGGAGCAGCCGCAGCTCTGCTGTATAGAGGGGCTCAGGATGGAGTGGTGTGTTTTGAAAGGGGTGGTCTCCAGCAGCTAAGGATACATGTATGCATGTGTGTGTAAGGGGCTGCAATGGGACAGGGCTTATGACAAGAGGACCATGGAGCTCTGAGTAAACAGCCTGGTTCTGGGGGATGAGACGCCCAGCCAGGAGGACATGGAAGGGGCAAGCATAGGCCACCTAGGCCAGGCAGCCTCAGGGGGTTGTGGGGGGCAGTCCTTCCCAGTGGGGCTGCTCTGGAGCCACTTTCTCTGAACCACACCAGATGGACGAGCAGCCTGGAACCTCATTTTTCAGTCACCACTCCCTGGTGTGACAAAACACATGCTCTACAGTGATAAAATCTGAACGTTTAAGCAAATTAAAAATGTTTATTTATATGCATTTAAAAATATCTCCCTATATAATAAAAGGAAGTACATTTTCATCTAACACTTTCCTTAAATCAGCACATATCTCCATTTCACTTCTGGTTTGATGTGACACACAGAGATAGAAAGAAGGGGAGAAGGGAAACTGAGTATTTACCATTGGATTCCTAAGTAGTTACTTTGCTAGTAGTAACCGAACACCCTCCCCCTGGAATGTGGGAGAGAAGCAATTGTCAAATGTGCTTGTCACTGAACTCCTAGCCAGTTGTAAGATCATAAAATTGAAGCTTCAATGGATGGACTGATTCATGTAGACAATATCGTCTAGAAAATCTTGGGGTTTTATTTGTTTTATGAAAGTGCAGTCTTTCCGACCAGGGCTGTGGTGATAGGGGAGAGGAAGGTACAGCGCTGGTATCTGAAGGTGGGGCCTGGGTGAGTTCAGACTCCTGGGTTTTAGGCATGACTCTATCTCTGCATCCCTGAGTGAGAGACCCCCTCTGGATCTCAGTGTCCCCATCTGACAGGCACCGCACAGTCCCAGTGACTGCCACTGATGCTCAGTGGACACTCCATGATGTTTCTACTTAAGGAAAGCCGAAGGCCTGGCCCTCCTCCTCTTTCCTTCCCTAGCGCTGGCTCTGTGAAGTGAGGGGATTTGGGCTGCTAGGAAGGGCCCATAAAGAGGCTGGTATTCTTGGCTTCAGAGCCACCTGCCTCTCCTTACTCCCTATTCCTGGGGTTCTCTGCGCCTTCCAAAGGTCCTAATGAAACTCAAGTGCCAGAGGAGGGAGCAGTTCAGCAAGGCTACTACCCTTCTGCAGGAGATGTAGTGACAGGCCCTAGGGACACGTGGAGGTGGATCCTTTGAGCCCCCTTGGATTCAGGAGCCCTTCACCTGTGCCTCACCCCAGGTGCAGCCCATGGCTCTCCATGCTTTATCTTCAAAGCCCAGAGATTCAGTGCTCTGTATAACATTGGGTGCATGTTTTAACTCCTCTGAGTGTCCTTACATATTAAATAAGATGGGCAAAGCTGTCTTCTCAGGGTGTTGGAAAGAGTTAAAAATGAGATCTTGGTTGTCAAAGTCCATCATCATGCACAAAGTAGGGCTTGCTTCATATTCATGGCCACTGTAGGCCCCTTATGGGTGGGACTGGGGGGAAGGGACAAAGGCAACACCTTTCTCCTGGGTCTGGAGAGCCCATAGCTTGCCCTGGGCAGCTAGGCTGGAACAGAAGAGCAGCTGGTTGGAACCTGGGGGGCAGATGTGGCCCTGGGACCTGGCTAGGCCTTTACTATAGCCCATGCTTTGATTAAAACCCTTGCCACTTCCTTCAAGCTCTGGGGGTGAGAGACAGCAGATCCTTCTTTATTCTCATCCTTCCCCAAGGCCTCCCCTCAAGCTGACTGATTGTAGAGCAACCTTGGATAAGACTAATGTCTGAATTGGACTCTGAGGGTGAAAAGGGCACAATTTATAATGTATACAATGGTCCACTAGTGCATATCAGTCAGTCTAACAAACCAACACGTACAATTACTCTAGCTAATAATTTCCCATCCTAGGCTGGTAGCTCATTTTACGCATATGAAGCCCTAGTTTTCCCAACGCCATACTGCCAGTGGACAGGAACCCAGTTGCTGATAATCTGAGTCACCACACATCACAATGACATGGTGACACTTGTCTATCCCTTCTCCTTGCCCAAACCTCCCCATTTGGTTTTCATCCCAAGGAAAGGAACAGTGCTGAGGACCACTACTAGCCTGGAGAGTCCATGAGGACTGATGCTATCTTTGATGTCACTCATTAGTTCTATGACTTTGAGTAAATAACTTCTGTCCTTCAGTTTCCTCATTTGTAAAGTAGGAGTAATAATACCTGCCCTCCAGGTTGTTAAGACACCTCACCCAGGACCTGGCACATTTTAGGTGTTCAATAAATAAGAATAAATATCTGACTAATGGAGTGGGCAATAAATGTTAACTAAGCACCTACTATGTGCTGGGCCCTGTGCTAGATGTTTTCTATGTTCAATCTCCCTGAATTCCTCACACTCCTCCAAGGCAGGTAAGATCCTTAATCCCCATCTTAAAGGTAAAGACGTAATGCAAGGAACTTAAGTAAGATCACTCAGCAAAGAAGAGAGACAGGAGGATGCTGGAGCCCAAGACTGGGCGCTGTTAGGGTCCAGGCACGTGGTTTGTGTCCCTGTGGTCTAACTGGGAAAGATCCCCGCCCAGAGGGCAGGTCACTTGCCCAAGGTCACACGAGAGGCCGATAGCTTCCATCGCGACCCCCCTCCCCACTCGCTCAACCCCTCCAATCCGCAGCCCTGCGTGCGGGGGCGCACGCATCTCCCCTGTGGTCCGTCAGTCAGCCGGTCTGTCTGGGTGTCTACGGGGCTCAGCCCCGCACCCCTCCCCAGCCGCGGGCGCTGCGCAAGGAGAGACAAGGCATTCGCAGCGCCCGGTCCGCGCTCACGCCCGCAACCGCCAGACGGCAGCGCTTGCGTCCACACCCGCCCCAGCCAGAGCGCGGGAGCCGCCGGGGCAAAGGCGCAGCGGCCGGCGGACGTCTCTCGCTGTCTCACTGCTCTCTGCGTTGGGGAAGCTAAGAGGGTGAGCCCAGCCACCGGCCCTCCAAGATGAAGAAGCTCCAGGGAGCTCACCTCCGCAAGGTAGGGCGCCAGGGCGGGGGCGCAGCCGGAGGGCTGGAGAGGCCTGACCCATAGAGGCCCCTGGGGAGGGCTGGAAGGGGCACGTACCGGCTCAGGGCTCTGGGGGAGGTTCGGGCCCAGCGGGATGGCAGGGAAAGGCGGGGTCATGCGTGCGCCCCCACTCCTGTCCCTGCCATCTGGGAACCGAGATGTAGAGTGCTGGGGGCTAGGGTACACTGGGTCAGGCCCTGTGAACAGGTGTCATCAGCCCAAGAAGGTGCAGGGTAGGGGTGGCTTGGGGCCACACATGGTCTTTCCCCAGTCCCTCAGCCTGCTTTCCCCAGGGGTTGATTATAGGGCACGGGTTGTTAGAATAGCTAAGCCCCCCTCCCCCCAGCCTTGAGCTGAACTAATATGGCTGTGAGGGGTGGGAGGTGGGGAATGGTCCTGGCCCTCATTTGTGCACTAAAGCAAGCTCCATGAGCCTGCAGGAACCTCCTCTTTCCTGCCTGTTCCTTTCCTGCCACCTGCTTTCTCCGGGTCTCCCTCATCTCCTGGTGGCTTTAGTGTCCCAACTGAGACCCCAGCAGTCCCTCAGCAGGGCTGAAGATAGGCAAAGGCAGGGAGGGGCGAATGGAAGGCCCAAGGATGTTGGTGGGGTGGAAACTGGGATGAGAGAGGTGCCTTGGGCCCAGACATCAGCCTGTCCCCACCTTGTCTGGTAGGGTTGGGTATCCCAGCAAGTTTTAAGTGCGTGGGGAGGGGGAATATTGGGAAAGTTTTCTGGCATTTGGCTTTTGGTATGGTATCAGCCCTAACCAAGGAGTTAAGTCTCCTGGTACTATTCCTGTGGATGCCACTTGCCCTGTGACTTTGGACAAATTCATCCTCTAACTTGAACCTGGGCTGGGCCATCCCCAGTGTGGAGACACCAGAGCAGCGCTTCCCCATGCATGAGGGGTGCAGAGAGGAATGGCATAAACTGGAGGGGGCTGGTAGGTGCAAGAAGTCAGTTCTCAGGGGCTGTGGTGTAGGCTCAATAGGGGAAATCCCACCAACCCCCCCTGCTTACACATGCTGGCAAATATGTGCGTGCTGTGTGTGCACACACGCTCATTCATTCAAGCTCTCTGCCCTTGACAGCTGGGCTTGGAACCACTGTGGTGTGTCTTCTTATTCACTAACATGAGTGACTTCTTGGGGCCATTTGTGGGTCTCTTGCTTCCTTTTTGTCCTATCCTCATTCAATTCCACTCTCTTCTTGCCCTGCCTCCCCACTAGACCCCTGCCTCTCACTGCCCAACATGGTGTAAACAGCCATGGTTGATGAAGGGAGCACTTGCGGGTGCTAGGCCAGGGAGCTTAGGGAGCCTTATCTCATTTAATCCTCCAACAATTCTGGGGGCTGGGTCCTATTATTCCACTATATAGACAAGGCAACTGAGACACAGAGGGTGAGGGTTACTGCTTACCTGCTGGTAGGCTAAGCAACCTAGAGCTAACAGGGCAGTGGTGGGGCTCCTTCCTCTCAGGGTCCCCTCCCTTGGTGTTAAGAAGGGGGATGCAGAGGATGACAAAATGCTATATCAACAAAGGAGCAGCATTGCTCAGAGATGAGCACCAGACTGGGAGTCAGGGCATCTAGGGCCAAGTCTTTTTCTGCCCTTAACTTCCTGTTTGACCTTGGGCTCATCCCTTCACCTCCCTGAAATTTGGTTTGCTCATCTGCACAATGATCAACTTGGACTGTAGACTCCATTGTCCTTCTCTGTACTGAAGAAGGCATGAGAGCCTTGGGTTAGGCAGTCCTGCATCTCCCAGTCCCTGCTGTGGGGACCTCCCTCTGTTGGTCCCTAAGAGAAAGTGTAGGTCTGGCAACTCCAGTGTGTGTTCCTGTGTGTGGGAAGTGGGGGGCTCAGGAGTGGGAGCCTCACATCCAGGTGGAAGTATGAAGCAACTCACTAAGCTTCCAAACCTGCCCCATTTATTTGATTGCTTCCTTCTTTCTCCTAACTAGTCCCATCATCATGGTGCCAGCCTTGGGGATTCATCCTGTGGTGGAGTTAGGGACTTGGACTGGGTTTTTGATTGGCTCAGCTTTGGAGGACCCCATCCCCTGCCCTTGGAGCAGAAGCAGGCTTCCCTCTGTTTGGGGGAGGAGGGGGCCGAGCTGGCAGCATCCTGCTCTTGGAACTCTTGTCACCATGGAAACAGAGAGCCAGGACCGCTCCATGAGCATGGAAAGGGCAGCTTCTCTGGAGGGATCAGAGGAACCTCATTACCAGGACCTCCTGCCAGCTGTCCTAAATGGGGCTGGGGGGTATCAGTGTGACAGGTCTGTTCACAACCCAATATGGGGCAGTGTCAACTGGCTGCTACCCCATCACTCCTGGAACTCACCTGGGAGTAAGACAGCCTCGGGGAAAGAGGAATAGGAAGGGAGGGGTAGGTGCCAGATAAGCCTGGGAACTGTTGCTATCCTCACCTCAGCATGTCCCAGATCACAGCTAAGGAACCGCCAGGCATGTGTTTGTTTAACCTTTGGAACCTCAATACTTTAAAAGTAGCTTTTCCATGCTTTAAGCCAGGCTGTCCCTGGTCGATAGCCAGCCTCAGACAACCTCCATCACTGAGGGTCTCCAAAGGGAGAATGCCCAATAGACCTCCCACCCGCTTTGAACCATGAAGTGGACACTGAGTCTCTAGTCACTTGTGTGTGCTCATCTCTTCTCTAGGGACAGCAGTATTGTGACTTTCTGAGACAGATCAGGGCTCAAGTTGCTTCTTCCTGCAACTAGAATTCATAGTTCTCAGTAGGCTCCCTTAAGCCACAGAGCCTAAGTCTAATCCCTCCCCTGGAAGCCCACATCCTTCCAAGTCTTCTCATTTCTTTTTTTTTTTTTTTATGTTTTGGTAGTTTTTGTCGGGGGCTGAGTTTGAACCCGCCACCTCTGGCATATGGGGCCAGCGCCCTACTCCTTTGAGCCACAGGCGCTGCCCTGAGTCTTCTCATTTTTATGTCCAGAGCTCCCAGCTTCTTCCTGTTGTCCTTCTGTAACCTCTTTGCCTAAACACCCTCCAGTCTGGCCACCTGCCCTTTGGACACACTGCTCACTCTCTGTCTGTCTTAAAATATGGTGCCCAGAACAAAGAAACAAAATTCCAGCACTGGTCGGTGGAGCCTGGGGCTATCACAACAGGAAGCTTTGGGCTTGAGACCTAGTTCACCCATTAGCCAACCTGGTAAAAACCTTGGGTACCTCATGACACCTCTTGGTGCCTCAATTTTCCTCATGCCTAGTGTGGAGTTTAGATGAGCACTTAGCTCATGGAGTGGTTTTGTGAATGAAATCAGGTAATGTGAGTAAAATGTGTAGTGCAGTGAGCACACAGTAAATGTGCAAGGCCCAGTAACTATTCATCAGATCATCAATATCCAAGATAGGCCCATCCCTTCACTGGCCTGTGTTAAGTAAGACCAGGGTCATTTTCTTAGTGTCTGAGCAACCTGCTGATTCAGTAAGTTTATAGTCACCTAAAACACGAGGGTCTCCTATGTGTGACTGTGTTAGCCCAGGTAAGAGCACTTGATTATCTGAACTGATAGAGCATCTTTCCATGTAACCCTGTCTGATTCCATTGTCTTGTTTTGGGAGTCATAGTTCCAGCCTGGCCTCACCTTCTCCCTTACCCTTTGGTCTCTCTGACTGGTAGCCTGTCACTCCTGACCTGCTGATGACCCCGAGTGACCAGGGCGATGTCGACCTGGACGTGGACTTTGCTGCAGACCGGGGGAACTGGACAGGCAAGCTGGACTTCCTGCTGTCCTGCATCGGCTACTGCGTGGGCCTGGGAAACGTCTGGCGTTTCCCCTATCGAGCCTATACCAATGGAGGAGGTATGGGGCTGAGGTCCTGTTGACAGGTGTCCAGAATGCTAGGGCAGGGCCCTGGGGTAAAGTGAGCTTTTAGGTGGCCTTAGCCACTCTTTTCTTCGTGACCTTGGGCAGATTTAGTTGAAAGTGGTTTGTAGTGGCCTGGGGCCAGGAGGAAGGAGCTTATCCTGTCTTGTCCCTTTGTATCGCCCAAGCCCCTCCTCCCTCCCTCTCATCCCAGGATAGATACTCACGTGGTTTCCTCCCTAAGTCTGGGCACTTCCTGGGCCCTGCGTGGTGGGCAGAGGGAGCTGCTGTTGCTTCGTGATAAAGAGCTGTATCTGCCTGTTGGTGATCGCTGTGCTGTAGCTTCTCTCGTCCCCTCCTCCCTACCTCCTCCAGAGCCTTGCTCCATCAGTCATTCCCTCTCCTGAATCTTCATTCTTTCCTCCTCTCCTGGTTCTTTCCACTCAGACTACAAACACAAAGTCTCTCCCATCTTAAAAAAAATTCCCTTTGTCTCTGCTTCTCTATCAAGTTACTGTTCTAAATCTCATTAACCATAGCTTGGGTGGAGTGCTCACCACCTGCCAGGCCCTGGACTTGGTGCTTTCCATGCCCATCTCCTTTAACTATGATGATGACACTTCTTGTAGACAGGTACCACAGAGAAGTGGCAGCCTGGGCTGGGAGAGGCCCGCTTTCTTGCCCAAGGCCACAGGACAGCAGACCCAGCATTCTAACCCAGGTCTGTCTTCTCCAGGGCCAATGTGCTCTTACCAGTACTCTGTATCTCCTCCCTTCTCTACCAGACTCTTTAAAGAAGCATGGATTGATAAAGAGTGAGAGCTCCAATTAAAAGTAGATGAAGCAGGCTGAGCACAATGGCTCACACCTATAATCCCAGCATTTGGGGAGGTCAAGGTGGGAGGATCACATGAGGCCAGGAGTTTGAGACCAGCCTGAGCAAAACAGCAAGAATCTATCTCTACAAGAAAAAACCAAAACTAGATGAAGCAAAGAAAAGATAAATTTATATGGCTGGACCATGTGGAACTGGAGCTGACCTCTGAAACCCCAGGAATCCAATACTGCTCAAGGTGTCTCCTGGCTCTCCCTTGCCCCATTTCTCTACTTCTCTCTGCATGCTGACCTCATTTTTCTCCTGAGACAGGCTTTCTCCCCGTAGTTGGAGGGTGGAGTGGCCACACATAGTTCTGGAATGGCTTCATCCTCAGTGGGTTTAGCAACCCCAGAGCTTTCCAGAACTATTCTGTCTGAATGAATCTATATAGAATTGCAGGGAAGGTCTCTGATTGGCCTGACTTGGGATATGTGTCTGTGGGGGAATAGGGGAGCTGGAGGGAGGGCAGGAGTAGGTTGGCTGGTGTGACTGCCAGCCCTTCCAGAGCCATAAGGTGGTGGGCAGTTTGCTAAAGGAGGTGGCTGCCAGTATGTGAAGAAAATGGAAAGTGATGTTGGGCCCACAGAACCACAGGTGGCAGTCACAAGTATTTGAGCTGGCATGGGGGAGAGGAGCTAGCTGCCTTGCAAGCTGATTGAGCCAGATGCTGAAGGGCATTGACTTTTGTACTGAGGAGTTTGCAATTTCTCCAATAGGGAATTCACTCTTTCCTGTCCTCGCTTATTCATTCACTCACTCAGCAGGTGTTTCTCAGTGCCTGCTCTGAGCTCAGCCCAATTCAATTCTGGGTACTAGGGCTCCAGGGGTAAGTGAATCCCTTTTGTCCCCCTCAGTCCACATAGACCTGGTATAAAAGAGAAGACAGACCTCCAGTGCCTCATCAGGTCCACAGGTGGTATCAGCCACCAGGAGGGGTGGGGCTAGAGCTGGGCTTTGGGGACAGCTGCCCCTGAGACCCTTGCTCACCCTCCCTTTGGCAGGAGCCTTCCTCGTGCCCTACTTCCTCATGTTGGCCATCTGTGGCATCCCCCTCTTCTTTCTCGAGCTCTCCCTGGGTCAGTTCTCCAGCCTGGGGCCCCTGGCCGTCTGGAAAATCAGCCCCCTCTTTAAAGGTGAGGCCTCAGTTGTCCCCAGGGATGGGTGTCCAAGTCTGGGGGAGGCAGGGAGGGAAGGTGAGCCCACAAAGTGAGCCAGCTCCCTGGAGGCCACACCACCTGCCTGCAGAGGGCTCAGCCCAGCAACCCAGCAGCCCAGCAGCCTCTCTCCACACCAGGTGCTGGTGCAGCCATGCTGCTCATCGTGGGCCTGGTGGCCATCTACTACAACATGATCATCGCCTACGTCCTCTTCTACCTCTTCGCTTCCCTCACCAGCAACCTTCCCTGGGAGCATTGTGGCAACTGGTGGAACACAGACCTCTGCCTGGAGCACAGAGGCTCTAAGGATGGCAACAGGGCCCTGCCCTTGAACCTCACCTACACCGTCAGCCCCAGCGAGGAGTACTGGAGGTCAGGCGGCCGCCCGCCTGGGAGTGTGAGAGGCCCCATGCTGCCAAGGGTGGGCAGAGGGCAGGGTTGTGCCACAGCCTCAAGGGGCTCAGCGTGTAGCTAGAGGATGAGACCAGGTGCTGGTGTTAGATGGATGTTGACCTTTATCCCAGCTCACCTGGCCAGCTGTGTAGCCTTGATCAATTTATTTGGCTTTTGCTGCTTTATCTGTAGTGTGGGGTCAATATTAGCCACTATTTCAGAGGGCTGTTGTGGAGGTTAAAAGAAAGAAAGCATGTGGCTTGTGCAGTCTGGTCTGGTGGATGGTCAGTGCTCAGGGAGAGCTAGCTGCTGCTGATGGTGGCTGTTGGTGGTGATGACAGGAATAGTAGCATTACCCCTTCTCATAACAGGGACTGATAATAGCCCCTATTTTATAGGATGTTATCCAGCCGGTCATTTACATATTCATCTATTATTCTAATGAATGAGTGTGTGTTTACTGAGCACCTACTATACCAATAGCTTAAGCCCTTAACACAGTAATGACCATCTCAGATTTGTCTAATGGCAGCGTAAGGGATTGTCATGAGAATTAAACAAGGTAATGCAGGTGAAACTGTCACCACAGCGCCAGGCCTGTTGCTGGCCCTGGGAATGGTAGGATGCTGCTGCTCATCACCCCATCCTAATGCCCTACCCCAGGGCTGAGAAAACAGGGCTCAGAGGCTTGCTCAATAGTTAATGACAGAGGTAGTACTGACTCTAAGGATTCCTGATTTCTTATTTCTGGAACATTCTAGAGTAGCCTGGTCCCTTGTGGGGGGGGGGGCGTTGGTTGGCCAGAGAACATAGACTAGACATACTTCACTTACAAAAGACTGCTCTTGGGAATTTTCTCCCAAAAGGGCTCCAGGTCTTGAAATGTTTGGGTCTCAAATCTGCACGTTCTGCACGGTTCCTCCATGTGTCTGCACTCACTGACGAGCATGCCTGACTACTGGGAAAGGATGGGCCTGGGTCTGCAGCTTAAAGCCACAGAACTTGACGTGGCTACTGCCAGCTGCCAAGGGTTTCCATGGCAATGCCACGGCCCACTGCATTGGGATGTGGGCAGGAAGCAGATGGCACTGTCAGAGGGCTTAGCTGAAGGGAGTTTAGTGAAAGGACTTCTCAGAAGGTCAGAGAAGCCATGGGGGAAAATGGGATGTCAGGGACTAGCCAGGGGGAGAGGGTGCCACTCATGAACCAAGGAGGCAAAGGTAGGGAACCAGGGGACTTGGAGCCTTGGAAGAGGGACTGCCCAGTGAGAGCTGTGGCTGCAGAAGAACACAGCACACCCACCCCCTGGATGGCATGTAAGTGTATATACGTGTGTATACGTGTGTGTGCAAATACCCAGCACCGCACTCCTCCCATCCTCCAGTGTGCTGCTGTTGCCTCCCATATGCCAAACCCAAATGCAAGCTAAAGGGGAAGGGAGCTCGGTGATGGAGTCTGTAGAGGCCAGTCTCCTAGGAGCAGAGCTGTTCAGAAAAGGAGCAGGGAGCAGGAGGGTGACACATGGAGAATAGCAGGAGAGCTGTGGAGGTTGGATACAGCTCGACTCTATGTCTGTGGACCAGAGGACACTCAGACCTTTGTCTCCCACAGCCGCTATGTCCTCCACATCCAAGGCAGCCAGGGCATCGGCAGTCCTGGAGAGATCCGTTGGAACCTCTGCCTCTGTCTGCTGCTGGCCTGGGTCATCGTGTTCCTCTGTATCCTCAAGGGTGTGAAGTCCTCGGGCAAGGTGAAGCCTGGGGGCCCTCAGAGGCCTGAGGGACTGGGTGAGGGGAAGGCTCCCTGGAGGAGGCAGAATGTGGGCTGACTCTGAAAATAGACTTTAGCCAGGAAGAGGGGAAGAGAGAAGACACTGGGGGACGAGCTCTCCCTGAAGAAAGATGTGGAAATGTAGATGCACAGGGGGCTAGGCTGCTCTGCTAGACCAGAAGCTTATCAAGGCAGGGTCTGATGTTGCCCAAGTGCATCCTTACCCAGTGCTTGGCACTTTAAAGGAGCTCAGCAAGAGTTTGTTGAATGCTTGAAGTGTGGGTATGTGAGTCAGGGCTCTTTGAGAGGCAAGAGACTAAACCCAGTTGTCACACTCACTTGAAAAGTCTGGAGGGTGTGCCTTAGGCTGGGTTTTAGGGGGTCAGCAGATGTTATCTGGGTGTCTGTAGTGCTGTCTTCCAGGTTGGCTTCCTTCTGAGGCTTCAGTCTCCATGAGGTTGACCCTAGCAGTTCTAGGCTTACATCTTATATGCTTGGTGAAGGGTTGTCTCATTCCCAGTCCACAAGTTATTCTAGAATTGAGTCTTATTGGGTAAGCTGGGCCATGTACCCATCCCTGAACCAATCTCTGTGGCCAGGTGGGTGGGATCCTCTGCTTGGTGTAGCCTGGACCTCATGCCCACCCCTGAAGCTGGGAATAGGGTTAGTTCCAGCTGGGTAAAGTTGGGATACTGTTATCTGAAGAAGGTAATGGGAAGACAAAGCCACAGGTGTCTCCTTTAGGTGAGGAAGGGGAGGAAGAGCAATAAAGCTATTTTGGAAAGACTTGGAACCCTTCTGAATGGTTTACTCAATCTTTTATAAATTAGAACTTGTTCCTCTGCAAAATGCTAAAGTGTCGTCCACAAGGAACAGAGCCGTGAAAAGACTAAAAAGAAAGCATTTAGAAAGAAAGAAGAGGTAATCATGGTCAAAGCCAAGGCAGTGAGATGTTGAGACTTCATAGTGTTTGCAGAAGGAGTAGCTGAAGGTTTGAGAAAAGGAGGAAAATAGACGGAGGGGAGTTTGGGAATGCCAGATGTCTGATGACCATGTGGAGTGGATTTTTTTTTTTTTTTCTGAGACAGAGTCTCACTTTGTCGCCCTTGATAAAGTGATATGGCATCACGGCTCACAGCAACCTCTAGCTCTTGGGCTTAGGCGATTCTTTTGCCTCAGCCTCCCAAGTAGCTGGGACTACAGGCACCCGCCACAACACCTGGCTATTTTTTTCGTTGTTGTTGCAGTTTGGCTCAGGTTGGGTTTGAACCTGCCACCCTCAGTATATGGAGCCAGCAACCTACTCAATGAGCCACAGGCTCCGCCCAATCAGAGTGGATTTGCAGGGACAGAGAGTGGACCTGGGGAGGAGGGGGCCTGGGCCAGGGGCTGCATCAGAGATGAATTTGGGATGGCCTTGGGCAGCAGGGTGACAGCACTTTGCTGATATTGAGTGTGTAGAGGGAGGAGGGAGGGAAAAGAAGCATCATGGATGAAGCCTGGCTCCTGGCTTGCCTGGCTGGGCCTTCACAAAGGTTGTGGAGGTAAGTCACTAAGATGAGGACTGTACGAGAGGAGCAGCATAGAAGGAGGGTGCCCTTGCCTTCAGCTCCCCACTTACTGTCTCTCAGGTGGTGTATTTCACAGCCACATTCCCCTACCTCATCCTGCTCATGCTGCTGGTCCGTGGAGTCACCCTCCCAGGGGCCTGGAAGGGCATCCAGTTCTATCTCACCCCCCAGTTCCACCACCTGCTGTCTTCCAAGGTGAGGCCTTCTGGGCTGGGGTGCAGAGGGAAGGCTCAAATCAGGGCCCAGGAAGGGAGAGACGGCTCCTCAGAAAAACAAAGGGACAGGGCCAGGAATCTTCCAGGTTCCAGGCAGTGTGCTTAGAACTGTGGCCAGGAGGGTGGAATGCTCTGCTTGGCTGGGACTGGGTTACATGCCTGGGCTCCTGTGTCTTTTAAAAAATTATTTGTTTATTTTATTATTTACTTCAGTTTTAATTTTTAAATTGATAACATTTAAAAATACGTTATCAAATACAACATGAGTATAGGATGTATATGTATATATACATGTATATACATCTAGCTAATGCATTATCGTTTTGTGGTGAGAACGTTTAACGTCCATCCCCTCTCATAGCATCTTTTGAGAATACATCATCACTAACTATGTATTATACTTCACTTATTATTCTTAACAATCCTATGGTGTAAATGTTATTCTCCCCATTTTACAGATGAAGAAACTACGCCTAAAAGAGTTAGTTGATAAGTTTACAGTCACATGGCTGGGCAGTGGCAGAGCAGATTCCAGTCCATTTCTGTGTGACTCCAAACCCCCAGGAGGGCATTAGTAATAATAACAATAGTACTGACAGTGCATATTTGTTATTTATTGACTGGTGATTGTGCCTGACCCTCCTCTACCATTTTGCATCTAGGTAGTGATTTAAGTCTTATTATCTCCCTGAGAGGTAGGCACCATTCCTATCCTCTCATTACAGATGAGTCCTGGGAGGTGATGTGGCTTCCCAGGCTGTACAGCTAGAAAGTGGTAAAGCTGGGATCCAAACCCAGGTTACTGTGACTCCAGGCAAGAAGTACAGGGGTTACACAGGCTTATTGTCAATACAAATCTCCTGAAAATTTTTTATTAGGCATTATGTCCTTCAGAAGTGGACCAAGCTTAGAGATCATCTTATAGTTCCTGGGTGGGAAGCTGAGGCCGGCAGAGGGTAAGGGACTTGCCCACATCCTGATGTGCACGCACTGGGGCAGGGTCTGCTCCTGGTTCACACTGCTTATGAGCCAGGCTGCTGGCCACAACACCCTGGACCTGTTGCACTGTCTTCGCCTACCTTCCTTCTCTCTCCTTGGCCTGCCGCACACCACTGTGTGCCAGCCCCTCTCTCTGCCCTCCCTCTCCATCCTTCCTGGCACAGGTATGGATCGAAGCTGCTCTTCAGATCTTCTACTCCCTGGGTGTGGGCTTTGGGGGTCTTCTCACTTTTGCCTCCTACAACACGTTTCACCAGAACATCTATAGGTCAGTGTCCCGCAGTCTCTGAGACCCCAGGTGCCAAAGCTGGGAGGAAAGTGGCTGGCCAGGGAGGGTCTCAGGCATTGAGGGTAAGGCCGGCTCACCCTGGCTTGTGCCTGGACTTCTCTTGGCAGAGACACTTTCATCGTCACTCTGGGCAATGCCATCACCAGCATCCTGGCTGGCTTTGCGATCTTTTCTGTGCTGGGCTACATGTCTCAGGAGCTGGGTGTGCCTGTGGACCAAGTAGCCAGAGCAGGTAGGCAGGCTGCCAGGTCTTGGTAGGGTGAGGGTGTGTTTCAGGCAAAGCTGGAGCTGTGCCAGTGAGCCTGTGTGTGGACAAGCAAGATTGCACATGGGTATGCTATGTGTGTTTGTGTGCATGTACACACGTGTGCATGCAAATAAACGTGTTCTAACTGGTCTTTGAATATCTATAGGCACAGGGATGGGTGTGCAAATGCTTGTGCATGAACCTGTGTCTGGAGGCAAATGAGTTTTTGTATGAGATTATCATGTTTTGTACCTTGTTTGCACAAATGATTCAGACTATGTGCTCAGATGTTTGTGTGCAAGTGAATCCAGGGTGAGAATGATCTTGGAATCAGTGTATCTTGTGCCAATGGATGTGTGTAGGTATGTGTGTTAGTGGGATTATTTGGCAAATGGTTATGAACATAAGTGTGTTCTAGTGAGGTTCTATTTTGGGGTCTTGTGTTTATTCATGTACTTATTAACTCATCTGTTTTGTCAACCTGTCTGTTGAGCATCTACAGTGTGTCAGCCTATGTCCTCAGAGTTAAGAATGGTCAGAGTGTGTATTGAGGGTACTCTCTGAGCTTAGCTAAAGAAGTGTTCCCAGTGTATAAGAGGCTGTGTGTGTTTGAGTATGCATGCATATGGGGGCCCACTGCACGCTCCAAGCTGTTGATCCTGTGTGCCCTTGGCCCAGGCCCTGGCCTGGCCTTTGTTGTCTACCCCCAGGCCATGACTATGCTGCCTCTGTCACCCTTCTGGTCCTTCCTCTTTTTCTTCATGCTTCTGACCCTCGGCTTGGACAGCCAGGTGAGCCTTGTCCATGGCAATGGGCACCTCGTGGGGTGGCATGGGGGAGGGGTGTGCAGAACTCTGCCCCCAACCCATCTCCTCCCCGCAGTTTGCCTTTCTGGAAACCATTGTGACAGCTGTGACAGACGAGTTCCCATACTACCTGCGACCTAAGAAGGTGGTGTTCTCGGGGCTCATCTGTATCGCCATGTACCTGCTGGGGCTGGTCCTCACCACTGAAGTGAGTGGCACCACAGGGAGGATGGCGGGGAGGACAGCAGGCTGGGTGGGGTTGAGCCAGGCGCTCACAACTGTGTCTCTGCCTGGCTGAGCAGTCATTGAGCCACCTATGTCTTTTCCGCTGTGAGGACCCCAGTCCATCCCAGGCTCTTTTTGCCGGGGAGGCAGTTTGGCCCTGTGATCCAAAGATCCAGGCTTTGGAGTCTTAGTTGGAGAGACCTGGGTTCAAATTTTGCTCCTGCATTTGCTGAGTGGCTTCTGGACAGTAGCTTCCCCTCCCTGAGTTTGTTTTTCCTCATTGATAAGATAGGGGCTGTGCAGGAGTGGGCTGTTCTGAGCCTCAAATAAGATGAGACCTCAGAGGCTGAGCAGGTAGCCAGCTGGTCCCCTGATGCTGACACCCCTAGCCAGCCTGACTGCTTCCTGCTCACTTCTTGCCAGGAGAAGGGAGCTGTAGCAGGCAGCAAGGCTAGGAGAGGGGACCCCCAGCTCTGTGACTTGTGTTCCAGGGGGGCATGTACTGGCTGGTCCTTCTGGATGACTACAGTGCCAGCTTCGGGCTGATGGTGGTGGTGATCACCACGTGCCTCGCCGTTACCCGGGTGTATGGTGAGAAGGGGTGTGGATGATGGAGTTGAGACTCCCCACAGTGGGAGAATGGGATTCTATCCTGGAGCCCCGCTACACCTGAGTCCATGGTCCCAAGGGCCAGGGGTTCAGGTGGGGGCATTTGGGGTAGAGGAGGCACTGCTGGTGCTTGTGGGGCCTGCTGGTGGGGCCATTCCTCCTCCCCACCCCTTGCAGGCATTCAGAGGTTCTGCCGAGATATCCACATGATGCTGGGCTTCAAGCCGGGCCTCTACTTCAGGGCCTGCTGGCTGTTCCTGTCCCCAGCCACACTCTTGGTAATCAGGGGTGGGAGGGAAGGTTGCTGGCTGGGGCCCCAGGGCTGGGAACAGGATTCTTTCTGCACATTGCTTCTGGTAGGGCCACCCTGGCCCACACAGGAGCCTCTGTCTGGGTGGGGTGGGCACGAGGTTCCTTATCTGTGCTCCTGCCCCTCGATGCCCTCAGCTTTTATGGCTGTGCTGGGCCTAACTCTGCATTTGGTTGGTAAGTGGTTGGGGTGGTCCCAGGCCTCAGGGCCTCAGGTCCTCAGGGCTGGGACCTTGAAGCTGTGCTTTCTCCTTTCGGAATTGGAGTGGCTCAGGGATGGGTTATCTCAGGAATTAAGGTACTTCTGAACTGGGCTATTGCAGGCCTTGGCATTGGGTCAGCTTGGAGCTGGGCTAGCTCAGGCCTACAGAGGTGCCAGAGATGTACCATCTCAGGTCCTATTGCAGCTAAGGACATTGGGTGGCTCTGGGCCAGACTTTCTCTGGCCTTAGGCCAGCACTGGGCTGGGCTATCTTAGACCTTAAGGTAGCTCAGACCTGGACTAAAATCCCAAGCTCTAGGGCTTACCTGGGGCCTACTGTGATGCTGGCAGTCCATGCCCCTACAGGCCCTACTGGTGTATAGCATTGTCAAGTACCAGCCCTCTGAGTATGGCAACTACCGCTTCCCACCCTGGGCCGAGCTACTGGGCATCCTGATGGGCCTGCTGTCCTGCCTCATGATCCCTGCTGGCATGCTGGTGGCGGTGCTTCGAGAGGAGGGCTCGCTCTGGGAGGTGAGTGCCACAGCCTGCCCACCCTCAGCCTTCCTGCCCCATGGCCCGGCCCTGGCCCTTGCTGGAACACAAGGTGACCTCATACCACCTTATCCTGGGCCTTGCAGGCTTCTTCCAGCCTGAGGCAGATCCAGGGGCTGGAGCCCTGCTCTGTGGCACCTCCAGCCACATGGAGCCTAAGGGGAGAGGATGCCACATCCAGTGATCCCTGATAACAGGGGGCTGGCTCAGGTCTCTTGGTGAGTTAGGCAAGGGTCAGGACTTTAACTCAGGTCACCAGCTCAGAGCTTCCCTCTGGAACTCAGGGTCAAATGGCAAGACTGAGGGACCCCAGATGAGTCTTCAGGTGGTAAGAGAATGCCATTGTGCATGGAGCTTGAGTGAACCTGATGGGGACTAGAGAGAGTGTGGAGGACCCCCCCCAACACACACACATACATACACACACCATCAGAGTGTACTAGAGCCAGCTAGTACTGGTTCATGAGAGCTAATCATGAAATATTCAGGAATATGCAAGCCAGTTGTCAAACCATTGAGAGCTAGAAACTGACAATGATAGGAACATTTACGCTCCTGAAATTGTCTACAAAGCAAACCTCCCTTGCCCCTCTTGCACACATGAGTACCAGCACATTACTGCCCCCCAGCTGCACCCCCCCCCCGTCTCACTGTTCCACAGCAGCCCTCAGCTCACCCTCATGTCTGCCCCTGGAGAGAGGCTCAGCCTTCCCACGCAGAATTGGGTTGTGGCCACACCCTCTAGAACACAGGGGCAGCCTGAAGTGCATCCCCTACACTGCCTCCAGCCACTGTGTGACGTGGGGCAAACTCTTTCTCTTTTTTGAACCTCTGGAGCTTCTCCTGTGCTACTAGAGGAGCTTGTCTTCTTGCTTGAGTGCCAGGGTATCTGCAAAGGGAAGGAGAGGCTCTCCTAGGGGAGAGGAGTTGCTCCCAGCTCCTAGGAAGCTGCTGTCCTCAAGTCTTGCTAATGAGGGACTGGGAATGCTGTGCTGCCTCTCTCCTACCCTGCTGCAGCCACCCATGGTCAGGTAGAAGGGGCATATATTGTTGGGGGATTCCAGGGGCGCATGAGTGCTGCAGGGGAGTGATTGCCTGGCTCAGGAGTGCCACTTTCAGAGAGCAGAGCTTCCAGCACTGATACACCTGGATTGAATCCTGCTTCTGACATTTGCGAGCTGTATGACTCTAAGCAAGTTACTGCACCTCGTGGAACCTGTTTCTCTGTCTTTAAAATAGGTACAGTGATACCTACTCATAGAGCTGCTGTGAGAAGAAAAGCAGCTCATCAATGTAATCAGGATTGTGGGAGGCAGAAAAGCAAAGCATTTAAAAAATTCAGGATGGGCTCGGTGCCTGTAGCTCAAGTGGCTAGGGTGCTAGCCACATATACTGGAGCTGAAGGGTTCGAATCCAGCCCGGGCTTGCCAAACAACAATGACAAGTGTAACCAAAAAATAGCCAGGCATTGTGGCAGGCACCTGTAGTCCCAGCTACTTGGGAGGCTGAGGCAAGAGAATCACTTAAGCCCAAGAGCTTGAAGTTGCTATGAGCTGTGATGCCATGGCACTCTACCCAGGGCGACAGCTTGAGACTCTGTCTCAAAAAAAAAAAAAAAAATTCAGGATGATTCAAATCCCATCGCCACCACTTCCCACCTGTGTGACCTTAGCCAACTTAACTAACCTCTCTCAGCTTTAACTTTCAGATAATATCTATGGGGGTAGAAGGTACAAATAAGACCCTCTCATTGGGATACTGTGAAGATTAAGCCAACACTTAGCACAGAGCTGGAGCCTAGTGGCTGCTCAATTTTAAGCCAGGGGTTCTCACAGAGGGTGATTTCACCCTCAGAGGACATATGGCAATGACTGGAGACTTTGATGGCTGCCATGGAAGGGAGGGAGGTTCAAAGGGAGTGATATTGTCATCTAGTGGATAGAGGCCAGGGATGCTCTCAAACATCCTTCCATGCCCAGGGCAACACTCGCAGCAGAGAATTCACCAGACTAAAATTTCAATAGTGCTCAGGTCAAGAAACCTTGCTCTGAGCACTAGTTGGAAGCCAATGTAAGTCACTGCTCTCAAGGAGCTTGTATTTTAATGTGGGAGACAGGGCAATAGAAAAACAGAAAGGTAAGTGCTGCGCTGTGTAAATGAACAAACGAAACAGAACACAGGGGGAGAGTGATGATATTTTGGCTAGTGTGGTCAGAGAAGACCTCTGCGGAGGTGACAGAGACCTGGCTAAGGACAGGTCATTCATATAGATCGTATCAGCTCATATCTAGAGGGAGGGCATTCCAGGCAGAGGGGCAGCCAATGCCAAGGTCCTGAGGCCGGAGGGGGTGGTGTGTTTGAGAACAGCCTGGAGGCTGGAGTGGAAGAAGCAGAGGAAGGAAGGAGTGTGGTGGGAACCAGGGGAAGTCAGGGGCCAGGACCTGGAAGCCATGGTGAATACTTAGGATTTCATTCAAAAGGAGGTAGAAGCCATTGGCAGGCTTCTGAGCAGAAGTGTCATGCTCTTAGCACACTTTGATAAATCTTATGGTGACACGGTACGAGGCCCTGGGCTAAGGTCATTACGTACAGTATGTCCCTTGGGGCCTGCACCCAGTAAGCTGCACTTTGTGTTGGTTGTCCCGTCCCCCTTTCTATAAAGGTCCAAAGGCTCTCTTGGCAGAGCAGATGGAGAGCTTTGGGAACATGATTGAGGAAAAAGGAATTCTGGAATGTCCAAGCTTAGTCATTATTTTAGTCAGCCCCCTCCTTCCATGGAAACTGGGGCTCCAAGAGGGAAAGGTCAGAGTCAGAATCAGAAGGAGCCAGAAGTCAGGGCTGGAGGAGACTGGGAAAGTCAGCTGCAATCCTGCCTCCGTTCTCCCGGTTCAGAGCTCTTTCCCAATGCTCAGAGCCTTAGCACCCAGCATTTAAGGAAAGATTCCTGGATCAGTCTTCAGATGCTCAGAGGAGGAACTTACAATTATAACAATAGCCACCATTTCCAGGTTTTACCCCGTTCCCATCACCCTGTCAAGTGCGTCATCTCAGTGTCCTCACAATAACCCTATGAGGAGACCAGGACTCCTGAGTTACAGACCAGGAGTCAGAGCACAGAGAGCTCAGGTGGCATTGCCAAAGGCCCTCCTGCTTAGCAGTGGCAGAGGAGGACTTTCATGGAGACACGTGTTCACTCCCTGGGACCTGCCTCCACACCATCACCTCTCCTTGCCACCTCTGGTCCCCAGAGTTGTTGCAAGGACTCTGCCAGGTGATGTGATCAGGTTACCACTGGGTGCCTGGCCCTGGTAAGGGCCCGACCAGCTCTGCCTGTTCTCACCGCTGTCGTTGGTCTGCTGCAGCGGCTCCAGCAAGCCAGCCGACCGGCCATGGACTGGGGCCCATCGCTGGAGGAGAACCGGACAGGCATGTATGTGGCCACGCTGGCAGGGAGCCAGTCACCCAAGCCGCTGATGGTACACATGCGCAAGTACGGGGGCATTACCAGCTTCGAGAATACGGCCATCGAGGTGGACAGAGAGATTGCTGAGGAAGAGGAGTCTATGATGTGAGGCCCAGTCCTCACAGTCCCTTCTGAGGGGCCCACAAGGGCCAGCTGTGCCCTCTGGGGTTTTGAGAGCCTTTGGGGGGGTGATGCTGGTCCCTCAGTGCAAGTCCCTCCTGTGGCCTCTGCTTGTTCTGAAACCTTGGTCAGCTCCTTATATACACACAAATACACACATACACATTTTCAAGCCTAAGAAGGACTCAGCTCAGCCCCATTTTGCAGCTAGAAAAATTGAGGCCGGGAAGGTGGGCACTTGCTCAGGTCACATGGCAGAGGTGACTTGACTCCAGGCCACCTGACTAGCCAGCTCTCTTTCCAATGGGGCTGCTGGCTTTTCATCTCTGTTCAAGGCCCACACTCCTCCCTTCTCTCGGGGAGCCCATCACCATATATACTCCAACAAACCAGAACCTTGAGCTGGGCAGGGAGGGTCAGGGCTGTAGAGACTCTGAAGACTCCCTCCCCAAGTTAAGTGGGGAGAAAGATCCCTGGGGGTTCCTGTGCATAGACCCAGTGGGTAGGTCTCCTGAAAGAACTGGGAGATGAGAGCCCAGGAGGATGAGAAAGGTTTGTCAAAAGAGGGAGGGGAGGGTAAGGTGAGGAGGGCCCTAGGCCAGGAAGAAGCTGAGCTTCCTGGGGCAGAGACTATTACCAGGTTGCAGGACTGTCCTGGGTTGAAAAGGAAACTGATAAGTGTGGGCAAGGGATTTGCATAAAGGGGAATATGGTTCAAGATAAGATCTGAGGAGGACAGCTGGAGGTGGGAGGCGTGTGGAGGGAGGATAAGAGGTGCTGGTGGCTTGAGCCAGGGCTGCTAGTGGGGACAAAAAAGAGGCCCAGCCTTTCAGAGAAGGGCCACCCCTTCACCCACCAGACCCCAAGCTGCACAAGCTGGGGAGGTGGGACCAAGGGCCCCACTCTTCCCTTCCCTCTTGTCCTAGCACCTCTCACTATCTCCTGAGCTTCAGGCAATCCTGGGAAGCTAGTGTTGGCCCTAGGTGGTGGGGCAGCCTTGAGACCCAGAGGTGGTGCCCATGCATACCCATGCAGCTCCAGGGCCTAGGCTGGCAGGACGATACAGGCAGAGAGCAGAGGGCAGTCTTGGCACCCTGGGTCCCTGAGAGAAGAGGATGGGGGCACAGAAATGTCTAAGCAGGGCTCTTGCACATGGTGGCATTGTCCAGAAGGGCAGGGTAACCTCGAGCAGCTTGGCCAGCCTCTACGCCCTGTGTCTGTCTCCTGGTGTCTCCCCATCCCATCTGTGACATCAGCTGGTTGTTAATAAATACCATTGAAATTGTGCTCGTGGCCTGCCTCCTTACTGCTGGGAGCCCAGAGGAGGGAAGCACAGGCTTTCCAGCTCCCGCTGGGCAGATGAATTAACTGAGGCTCAGCTACCTCCCTTCCTGGCTCTCCTGGTTTCTGACAAGGGCTCTGCTTTTACCCTCTGTCAGTGGTGGGTGGGTGGGGCGGAGGAAGGCAGAGGAACTCTAGGCCTGTAGAGACCACTTAGTTCCCCATTGCACCTGTGGAGGCCAACAAAGGGAAGAGACCTGGTGGGGTGACCCAGCCAGGACAGGCAGAGCTCTTCCCGGCCAACTGGCTCTTCCCTTCTTCAGCTCCTTTACTGCATGTGGAGGCTGGATCTGGGAGACCAGGGCTGGGGAGGAGCCAAGACTTTCCTAGGCTGGAAGAATTTCCTGGTTCCACCCCCAACTCCTAGAAGGAAGGGCCTTGTCACATAAAAGATCCTCAGGGGTTTTCAAATGCGAGGCCCAGGTGTTTGGGAAGGCTTTGTTTGGGGATGGAAAGGAAGAGTGGTTGCATATTTCAGATATTAATAAATTCCTCCTAACAAAGGCTCAGGTCGCCCTCCTACCCCTCTTTCTTTGGGGGGGTTAAGGGGAAGAGATGAATTTGCTAATGTGCAAAGGATGCAAGGATAGCCTCCACAATTCAGGGTGCTTCTTCCCACAGCTGGTGGGCGGCACTGCGTGGGTCCATGGACTAGGGAGTACTCCCCACTCAGCCTCTTGGCTGGGAGTCAGGAATGGAGAATCCTAAGAGTTCAGACTTCTCTTCCCTCCAGATTCCAAGAGTAAGATCTGAGGATTCTAAGAGCCTATGGGTCCCAGAGCCCTGCCCCACCCCCGCCTCTGGGCCTGTGGTCCCTGTCCTGCCCCCCTGGCCTAGTTGTCCAATCTGTCCTGCTTTTTCTATGTTCTCTGTTCTCAGGCAGCTCTGCCTGCCCTACCACCCGCTTCTCCCTCCGTTGCCTGTGCCATCTCCCAACTGCTCCCATTAGGATTCCTTTATCATTTCCTGGTTACAGTGGGAGCTGATTGGGGTACAGGGAGCCCCAGACAGCCCAGTAGGCACCTCAAGGATATAGCAGCCCTGTCCACTGTGGGACACCAGCCTGTGATCCTAGAATGTTCTAGCCAGTGGCAACCCATGTGCCTACCAGGAAACCAGGTGAGCAAAGCCAAGAAACCTAGCTGAGCAAAGCTGTCCATGTGAGCAGGAGAGTAAGCTGCAACTCCCTCAGTGAGTGCTGGGATGATAAGAGGGAGTGGTGGGGTCTGCGGTGAACTAGAGAAGAAAGTGGGAGAGAGGCTACCTCTCAGAAGGTGGCCCAGATTGCCAGATCTGGTTTTCTGAGAGCAGCTGGAAATCTGTTTTTATGAAGATTTTCCAGTTTAAAATGTGGACAACTGGTTCAAAAGTTGTGAAACAGGATATCTTAGTTTAGGGCCTCCTCTCACCTCCCTGTAGGCTGACTGCTCAGCAGAATGAGGGGATGAGCAGCCCAAGGGACAGGGCTTGCCATAGGACCTAGATGACAGTGCTGGAGCTGAGGCCAGGCCCCCAGGGCTCTCCACCCTCACTGGGTTCTCCCTGTCCTATCTCATCTGATGTTGAGGATCTCTGTGTCTGTGGAAACCTGAACTTGGGAGGCTAGTGTAGAGCCCTGAGGGACAGCTTACATGCCTGGCTACAGTGTGGTATAAGTACCCTGGGTCCCTTCATTCCTATTCTAGAGAGAATCTGCTTGGAGTTACCCAGATAGGGCAAGCAAAGGTGTTCCCCAGGGTGCTGGGAGTTATGGAGATGAGGCACCGGATCATGTGCAGGGAGTGGTGGTCTCTGAGAGAAAACATGGAGGGGAAGAAGGGGGCAAAGGGAACAGAGAGGGGCTTCCCCCCCCCCCACCTTTAGGATCAGCCATGTTCTCAAGGCCAAGCAAGGGCTACCAGGCACCAAGAGTAACACTGGTTTGGTAGCCTTAGTGTTTGATTTTCAATAGGTCCCATCTGCTGGGTATCCCCTCCATCACCCCAGCCAAGTTCATCTTCTCGCTATGCCCTGAGCAGGCCCACACAGTTCTGCCTCCCAACCTCTGCTTAGGTACCCTGTGCTGATGCCTCCGCATGCACCTTTTGAGATCCTAGTCAGCCTCTTAAGCCCTCCTAAATAACCCCTCCTATGTAAGTTTTCCTCCATTCCCCAACCAGATGTGGACGCCTAGAATCTGCAGGGGCCTGACTCAGTCCTGCATCTGATGATTCCTAACAGCCCAGCCTGCCTGCCCAGGGTACTCATGTCCATCTGACACAACACTTTATTTCTGTGTAGTTAAGACTCTTACATCATGTCCTTTGGACTCTAGAGTGCTTTGGGGCGGCAGCAGGGCATTGTGCAGAGGGCTCACGCCCATCTCTGCCCTTGCCTGCCTCTGTGGTCTTAACCTCCCTAAAGCTTTAGTTTCTTTACCTGAAACATGGGTAATTATAACTCCTACTTGGCAGCAGCATCACGCAGGCTTGGGATCAGGCCGTGGGCCCCCAGCACAGGGTCTTGGTGGGCATGTGATAACACACTTGCTGATTGAAGAAACATATTTGTGTCTGTGGTCTTGCCCCATCACCAACTCTCCCAGGATAGAGACTAAACTGTCCCCATCTCTTGGTTGCCCCAGTGACCATACAGGGAAAGTAAACGGCATCACACGATGAAGCATTGACCTGAACACGGTTCTTTTTGGCTCTGGGGATAACCAGCAAAGAGTTAAAGTGGTTGTAGGCTCCTCCGAATCCCACGTGACCCTTGGTGGCGGAGCCTCAGGGTCTGCGGTGGACGCTCTCCTCCAGATTCATTTTTTGCCAGTGGCTCATGGAAAGTTTGGTTCCTTGAGCTCCAGGCCACTCCCTCTGGGGCCCAGGGCCTCACTGACGCTGGTCCTGCCCTGGAAGGGCGTCCAGGGCTGCCTGCCCGCCCTCGGATCCTTGGCCGGCCGCCCCCTGCTCCATCTTTGCCTGACTTCCTGCTGCCTTGTCCTCTTCCCCTGGGAAAGAGCAGCAGCCCAACCCTCTGGGCATAGGCAGGCCTCCTCTCAGCACTCCCATTCAGAAGCACTCTTTGGGGGAAAGAAAGCCTCTTCCCGCTCAAGTCCACAGCCTCTGTGGGCTGCAACCATAGGGAATTGTAGCCTGTAAGGACCAAGGAGGATTTGGATACTCACTGGTCAGAGTGAAATCCCAGCTCCGTGACTCAGTGACTCTGCTACTTCACCTCTCTGAGCCCCACTGTCCTCAAATGTAAAATGGGGAGTACAGTTTTCACCCTAATGAGATAATATAGATGCTCAACATATATATATTTTTTAAATAAAACTGCTTAGGTCAAACCGTGGCATGTAGAAACCTCCTACGTGGGATGGTTCTCATAGTCAGCTGTTCCTTGTACAGATAAGGAAACTGAAGCTCAGTTCCCACCTCCAACCAGCCCAGGGGGAAGGAAGTTGGGGGTTGGCATGCCTGGAGCCAGGGACAGGCCACACTAGATGCTCCACAGCCATGTCCCCTGGAGACTGGGGCTTGGTGTCTCCATTTGTGAGACAAATGGGTTGAACAGGAACAGTGAGCCCCACAGAGTGCCTTGGAGGAGAGAAGTGAGCAGAGGAGGCCCTTTGTTTCCATCCTGAGTTCAGCCTTCTTCTAGGACCAT